TTTTACAATGTGGTCAATTAAAGTGGGATTAAACATGATAAAATAGTGCTTTGCCTTTTTTCTATTTGTGTGGGAACTACGTTGATCCAGACAGCTGTTATAGGTCTCAGAGATTCATAACTAGTTGAAAGAATAACTTGTTACTGAATTACAATTAGGAATTAAATAAACTAATGTATTAATTTACTGTAAATTATTGTAACTAGACAAAGTTTGAACTTACACAGCTGGTGCAACGGGTTGCTGTATAAAATCTGAACCCAACACCTTAATGAAGGTCAAAGGCTGTTCTGTTACTGAGAATATTTACTTGCATGGCATTCCTTTTTGCCACACTCCCCTCAACTATTAACCCAGTGTGCTCCCAAAATGAACTTGAAATTGTCTGTTACTGGATCTTAATGTGTCTTGTGACCAGTGTTCTCATTTGTACAGTATGTTGGCGGTATGATAAAGAGATTCAATTGTTTTATCAACTTTAGAAATACATAAAAGCGTAAAGATAAGACAACATTCTTTTATTGTAGTGAATTATAGTGCAGTCTATAATACATTCAGAAAAGAATTAGACAGGAATTATGTCCCCACCCTCCCAAAAGGATAAAATGATTTAAATGACAATTAAAATTCTTTGCACATTCAGATTAGTAAAAAGTAACAGTATAAAGTGTCCATTAGCTCCAGGAACATACATCTGAAGAGTCTTTTTTTAAGAATGGCACACATACAGAGCTCCTCACACTCCAGGCTGGTCTGGCAGATCCTTCAGAAGTGCAGGGTTTTTTCTATAGATGTAGGCGTTTGAATCGTCATCCAGCTTCACCAACTCTGCCAGTGACGACACGCAGGGATCCTGATCGAGCAGCATTGTCGGCAGGCGGGAGGATTTGCGCTGGATACGGCAGGAACGGCGCACTGGAGTCAGGAACTTCAGATCTTTGATGTTGCTCTTTCTCCTGGATGCACTTCTGCCAACATCATCTTCAATTGTCCTCTTGACACTGAACAAGGGATGTTTGAAGATTAACTACTGTATTACATGTGAAAATAAGTGACTTAATGAAATCATTAAAATTATTAGGCAAATAAATAGCTGCATAAGTAAGTTGATGGACTCACCTTTGCAGGTATGGAGTGGTCTTCACACTGTACTTAACTACTGAGGCATCCTCCATCTGTGGCGTGGTCTCCATCACACAATCATCACTTGCTCCTTCATAATCATCATCATCCTCATCAGTCTCCACTTCCTGGTCATCACTTTCCCCTCCATCATTCACTTTCTCGACCTTCAGCTGCTCGCTAACAACCTCAGGCATTTCATTCTTCAGCCCCTCTTCTTTACCTTCATCCTTTGGTTCGCTATCTTCTACTTCAACATCATTGCACTTATCTGTCACCTGTGAAATATCTAATGGAAACAAAAACGATGAGTGTCTGTGTAAGAAGTATTTGTATAAAGTAACTAGTGTTCATTGTTAGGCCACGAATGCCAGTGACCTGAGTAGATCCTTTATTTTTAAGAACTGACTTAATAAACCCTCTGCCCCAAACAAAAGCCACAGTGGGAAGACACAGGTGAGCTTACCATCGCTGCATCTGGAGGGTGTTGCCATGGCTTCTAAAGCATCACACAGGTTCACAACAATCTGTCAAAATGAAAAAGATGATTTTATTGGTGTGGAAGGGAACTTTTTTTGAAACCTCAACAGAAACCCTGCCTGTTCACTTACATCATCCACTCTGTCCTGTGGTTCATTGAGCAGATCTGCATCAGAGTTTTCCAGCAGGTCCAGGGTGGTGTTCATGATCACTGGAGATTGGCTGTGTGTTAGTTCTGGTTCCTGGGTATCTGCACAGTGAGCAGCAGAGTCTGACTTCTGTGCCACCAGACTGGGTTCAGGTTCAGGGTTGCACGGTGCAGACTGTGGTTTGAGATCAGCTTTGGGTTTTACAGAGGCTTTGGTTTTTGAGAGTGTTGCTGCTGTCATGGCTGGTCTCTTGAAATTCTTGCCCTTGGAAGCTAGCCACTCTGCCAATTTCGCTCTGCAAAGGAACCACAAACATTTTTGAACATTTCTATTGTACACTAACACTATTGTCAAGAATTTATATACAAAACGAAAAACATACTGTCTTTCCTCGGCAGTCTCCATGGTAAATCTGTACTGGCTGATGGTGCTTGAGACAGGAGGTTTGTTGACCTTCTCTGTCACTTGAATCTTTGGCTTTGAGTTCTGAGTCCCACTCCTCTTGGTAAAAGCCATATTAGTGTTTCTGGTACTGGTGCTGGTTAGTGTTGCTGGGACGGTTCTGGCAGGAGGGCGAGCAGAGTAGAATCCAGCAGGAGGACGGCTGGTGACAGCGGGCCTGGAGACCTTCGCAGGTCTATCTAAAACTGACTTGGACCTCGTCTGTGCAGGGTTTTGTGTGCTACGCCCAGGAAGGTCAGCAACAGATTTGGACCTGATTTTTGTCACATTTCCAACCCTTTTGCTCTCTGTTTTGGGTGCTAATGGTTTTGGATCTGTCCTGCCCACGGTGGCACTTGACTTCCAAATGGCTCCAATTTTTGACTCTACTATCTTGCCTTTGTACATGCCGAGAGCAGATTTTGGCGGTGGCACAGCAGCTGGTGGTTTTGGACCTTCTGCTGCTATTTTTTTTCCTTTCACAGCCTGTTCAGTGAGGAAGGCCTGGCTATGTGTTTGTCGTTTGACATCAGTAACAGAAGCTCCTTTCCCATCTCTCTGCACGGTCTTTACCTTTTTCAGAGCCTCACCAGATGTTGACCTGGTGTCCATCTGTTTGACCTTGGCTTTAATAGGACCATTTTTTGCCACAGTTTCCTCTTTTTCATTGCTTTTCAGTTGAAAGGGAACAGACGGTTTATCTCTTTTGATAAAGGACTTGCTTCCATTTGCTGGCTGAGAATTTTCCTTGTTTCCCTAATATAATTAAAACAACAAGACCATTGAGTGAATTAAGTGCTGAATTTTAGCTAAAAAAAAAAAAAAATGAACAGAACTTAGTTAGCAGACAACATAAGAAGACATGTATTTCATATGATAACTTACTTTCTTGAGGTTCCGTCTTGAAACTGCAATATTTTCCATTGCGAAGCATCAACCAGGCAGTGGAGATTTCTGGAAGGTGAACAAAGCAGTACCAGGGTTGGAAATTAGCGTCAGCCAAATGCTGGTCAATTTCAGACACAAAATTATTATTTACTTGATTGGTAACAAGTATCTGTCAGTGGCTGGTAGATGTACACATTTTGAATAGTTAATTTACCACCCTGAGAAATGCATATATATAGATAGATAGATAGATAGATAGATAGATAGATATTAATAGATATAATTAATTGACAGCATGTAGCATGCTGAGGTTATACTTGGTCTGTAAGTAAGGGCTTATTACACCCAACAGCTATAGCTGCCCACCAAACTCCCGCACACTGTTGAGGCATGTCCAAACTAGTCCATAAAGGGCCGTATGGCTGCAGGTTGGTGTTCCAGCCAGTCAAGAACATTAATAATTGGACTGATCACATCAGTTGATTAAATGAGTCGAGCCTGGTGTGATCCTGCTCGGTTGGAATGAAAACATACAGCCACACGGCCCTTTATGGACTAGTTTGAACATGCCTTTCTGTAAATAACATCTACTCTTTATAATGTACTCATATCCTATAATATATTCAGTAGTTGTGTAAGTTATGTTAATCAAAACGCAAAGGTAGATTAATATTAGCACGCACTGACTGAAGGTGTCTGGCGTAACGTTAACGTTAGCTGACATGAGATATAAAAACGAGTAAACGTTAGCTGTACGCTTGGCCGTAATTTCTATCCAAGTCTGCCAACTCTATCTATAACTATATTTAAATAACGTTAAAAAATAAACCATAACTTACCCTGCTGTTATCTTTTGTTGTACGACGCGAAGAGGAAGCCTCTGTACAGTAACGTTAGCACAAGCCCGGAGCAAAACACTTCGCTTGCCTCCCTGCGGAAAACCAGCCGATTTGACTTGGCGCTGCTGCGCTGCAATTGGCCGGGCTCGTCTCGCGAGATAACAAAATGAACCAATAGTGTGTCTGAAAAAGTAAGCGAGAATTGAAGAAGAGTGGCTGCATTCTTCCGTCCCACTGTTTTCAGCATCTCCTCTGTTTGAATGTTTGAAACCAAATAGGATTCCACGAATACTGGTCACTGTAAACAGCTACACGCCCAACACATGACAGCCGCCACGACCACTGTGAAAACTGAGGACAAGCTATGACTTCCAGTAGGGAGTTCACATCATCAGGGAAAGCTATTCTTTTGAGGACATTATTTTATTCAATATAATTAAATTCAAACAGGCTTTAATGGCATGGGGAACAGACTTTTACATTGTGTAAAATATATGTTTATACAGATTTTTTAATGTGGGTGTGTGTCCTTAAAATGATTGCTAATATGTATACATATATGACGTTTTTATAGTGGACACCTCCACTGTGTTATAATGAGATTGGATCTGTAGGTCAGTCATTACAGTGAGAATGGCATTTTGAAAACAGTAAACAAATGCATACATTACAGTTGTGATGACCATAATAACGACTGCGTGTGTTTTTATTTTATTAATTAAACTTCACAAAAAGCGCAGCACCACTGGGAATATTTTTTGAATAAAGCCATGGCATGTTGTCAACCTTTGGCTCTGACTGCTGAGGATTATGGGAAAGAAGCGAAGCGCGCGGTTTTGATGCACGTTGTTAAATATCAAGCTCAAAATGATTTCACCAATGAAGAGAATTAACCGTCAAAATAAAATCAAAATTACAACCAAAAACAAAAAGCATAAGCAAGATCATTGTTATTAGTCTGTGTGACTATTGAAGGGGCCTGTGAATAATAACATAGGCTTTTTTGCAAAAAACAGGTGTGTTTTTACAAAAGCAGTCTTATTTTGTTACTCAAACGCAATGTATTTTATTTTGAAAGCAAAAATCGGAAGTTATCTTGCCGTCAACGGTGGCTTGACAGCTAACTAGCGTTAGCAACATAGTTGGCTATCCTCGAAAGAATTTCACCGCAACAAACTTGTTTATGACACAAACTCATAATGCAGAGTCGCTGCGCGGTGCCGAACTGTACTAGCGGCAAATCCGACACACAGCCACTCTTCCGGTTTCCGCAGGATCCAGAAAGGTAACTAATGCTAATACTGATGCTAAAGCGAACAGGAAGCTCTCAAGCTACCAAGTGTTTCTCATTTCTAGTTCAATACGACAACTTTGGTTCAATCGTAGAGTTTTTGTTTCTGCAACATTTAATGCTGGTATTTTGCTTTGTAGCACGTCCTTTATTAAACCTGTTGGCTACTTATTTTCCTCTCAACACAAAAGTTGTAAAGTTTGACAGGTTCACGTGCCCGTGCTCTTTTCAGCACACATCATAAGACTGTTTACAGACTGTTTACAGACTGTTTACAGCCTGTTGGGTGGCGTGTAGTAACTTACAT